AATCAATCAATCAATCAATCAATCAACCAATCAATAGATCAACAAACCAGTTAACCAGCTCTATTACTCATTGGCCAATCAATCAACAACCAGGCAATCAGGCGAATGAAATCATTTTAACATTCAACCAACTGGGCATTCTGTTCAATTCAATTCAAGTAAATTTGTTCTTCTAAGCGATATCTGCCTAGTAGACAAATTTTTTAATATTCTAAAACTGTTTTGACTTTATTTCCAGCTTTTGTAGCGTTAGTTGGTTGAATGTTTGAGAATGTAACTTTAGAGGAATGTGAACGAGAACACGAAAGACAGTCCCATCTATAATACCCTATTCATGTTTCATACTCCAAACAGAAAGACACAGAGAGAAAGTCAGACGAGAGATAACCGAAATATTTAAAATAAGGACAGCATTAAGTTGAAAAATATTTCTTCAACTTGTTTTTCATCAACCAGATGTTTAATTTAAAAAGGTATAATTTAATTTAAATGTATTTTTACACATTCAGTAAATAACTAATAAAATGATATACGAACCCTCAATTTATGAATTGCAACATGCTTACAACAACATACAGTACAATGATGAGTGATATAATAGCAGAACGAAACAAACGATTATTTACATATTCGTTACAAGGAAAAACCAAGGCAAACACACATATGCAATATTTGAAGAACTTTATTCATCGAATCAGCGCAAACAAAAACCTAAAAGCCTTCTCATGTACTATACATACAAACAATATACATACAAACAAACATACATACATACATACAAACATACAAACATACATACATATACACGTACAAACAAGCATACATACACACAAACAAACAAAAAAACATACCTACATAAACACATACATGCATACAAACAAACAAACACGTACTATATACATGCGTGTACTAATGAGCTAAAGCAAGCAGAACACTAAAAGTTCGTAAAAAGAAGAAACACGGAAACAAAAATGTTAATCAAGGAGACTAGCACAAAAATCTGTTTACCGATAAATTAGTACGTATGTACATTTTATTCTTCGAAAGTTTGAGTACCATCTACCAAAGTATTTTGATAGCAATTTTTTTACACCCAATGTTATTATGTATTTTTTCTATAATTTTCAAACTGAATGTCACTTTGTAAACCTCACATCTCTTTAAATGTAAAACTTTGGATAAACTGCTTAAACGTCAGAGTTTTAAAAATGCGCGAGCCAACCGTAGCAAATTTCTGGCACGATTACAGCAAATTTATGTACGTAAAAATGTACCACACACACACACACACACACACACACACACACACACACACACACACACACAGACACACACATACACGCGTATACATAATCGCAAAAAAACAAACAAATAAAAACTAATTCGGAACCAAAACAAACACACACGTGTGTATTGGATTTATTCACACATACATAAAGGCACACATACAAACAGTTGTATATATATACATACATATATATATAAACATATATGTCCATATATATATATATGTGTGTGTGTGTATATAACAGAACGAAACAAACAAACAAACATACAAACAAACAAACAAACAAACATACAAACAAACAAATAATAAACAATAAATATATATATATATATATATATATACACACACACACATAAAAACGTATATAAATATGTATATATACCCAAAATCATATACATACATATATGTATGTATATGAGTATGAACCGGATGCAAGCAAGCGCACACGGCGCGAGAAATCAATATACAACGAAGACTTATGTATGTATGTATGTATGTATGTATGTATGTATGTATGTATGTATGTATGTATGTATGTATGTATGTATGTATGTATGTATGTATGTATGTATGTATGTATGTATGTATGTATGTATGTATGTATGTATGTATGTATGTATGTATGTATGTATGTATGTATGTATGTATATATATATACATATTATATATAGGTGTATGTGTATGTTTGTGCGTGTGTGTACGTGATTTATGTTTCAGGTTTTGTCCAAGAGAATGGAGAAAAATTCAAATATTAACTCAAGATTTTTTCTTATTATCATCTATCAATCCGTTAGTCTGTCGGTCGGCCATTCATTTATTTATTCTTTTTCACTCATTCATCCATCTATCTATCCATTTATTCAATTAAAAGTTTTTAAATTCTCAGCTGAAACTACTATCAAACCATCCATCCAACCATCCATCCAACCATCCATCCAACCATCCATCCAACCATCCATCCAACCATCCATCCATCCAACTATCCATCTAATCATCCACCCAATCATCCATCCAACCATCCATCCAACCATCCATCCAACCATCCATCCAACCAATAAAAGTAGAAAAAATAAATAAACATAATAAATTAATTAAATTAATAAAACACCAAAAATAATATATATAAACTAAAATATAAATTAATTTTTAGAAACATGCCACACGTTCGTCACGTTTTAATGTTCCTCACCTTCTAGAATGATTGCAGATGGTGATAAAGTTAACAAAGTCCATATTTAATGATGGTGAATATGATGAAGATGATGACGACGTAAAGTGATGATGATGACGATAATAGAAGGATGATGATGGTTATAATTACAATAATGATGATGATGATGGTGATGATGGTTATGATTACAATACTGATTATGATGATGATGACTATGATGTTTATTTTGGTTTTTTTCGCCAAAATAAAAATAATAATTGACGATTATAATTAACGATGTTAATCAACGTCGTCATTATTGTCGCAGACAAACAGACAGACAGACAGAGAAACAAAAAGACAGAGAATCAGACAGATAAGTTGATAGATAGATTGTTAAAATAAGTGAACAAATAAACAAAAGATAAGAACATATTTAATTAATTAGTTAATTAAATAAATAGATGGTTGGTTAATTAATTAATTAGTCATACATACCTCTTCTCTTTTTGCAGTCAAAATCTAATCGTCTGCCATGCAATTTTTTCCTATGGTGCTAAAAATTTATTTCATTTATATATTTTAATTAATTAATTATTTAATTAAATATTTAATTAAAAAATAATTTAATATTAATTAAATATTGAAAGATATTACTAATATCTTTAGTTACTACTACATGTGTGTGCATTTGTATGTATGTGTTTGGGTTTGAGTGTATATGTTTGTGAGTGAGTGTGTTTGTTTGTGTGTGTATGTGCGTGTGTGTGTGAATGTCTGCGTGTGTGTGTGTGTTGTGTGTGTGTGCGTGTGTGTGCGTGCGCGCGTGGGGTTTCGCCATTTACATTTCATTTTATTTTTTTCGGCTAAAGCAATATTAGATTTTTTATTAGCCACATATAAGACAGCCGGCGTCCATATACATCAGAGAGATTAAATTGTTAACAAAGACATCTTTCCTATTGAAAAAATAGTACCAAAATAATAATACTAACTGTAATGTTGCCAGCAAAAATACTACAGGATGTAGTAACAGTGCAAGTAAGAATACTAAAACGAGATAAGAAGTATCAGTGAAGCCAAACGAAAAGAGGTTTATTTAGTAACAAAAAAATACCAGAAAATCCTACAAGGTTGACATGTATGTTGTAATAAATGTAGCAGTAATAGTAGTATATGTAGTAATAGAACTAGTGAATGTAGTATAAATACCAATAATTTGGTAGTGGTGATGATTAATGTAGTAATTATATTGCTATTAGTATCGATAGTATTTGTTATATTGTAATAAAAAGGAAGATGTATATTATATATCATAATATTATGATATAATATCATGATAATAATATATGATATATATATATATAATAATAATAATAATTAGTAATAACAGTGAGTCATAGTGATTACATAGTCATTTCCTTAAAATCCATCTGCGACGAAATAAATCATGTTCACTATTGAACAAAAAATCTCAAGGAAAAAGTTTGGAAAAAATTATGTTTTTCATGAAAAACAATTTATTTGTTCGCAGAAAAATTGAAAAACGAAAAAAATTGAAAAACAAAAAAATGAAAAAATTTCAAAATGTCGAACTGTCATAAAAAAGAATTACTATAAAGATTAGATGGAAATTTCGCAAAGAGAAGTTTTGAGATGTTGAAGTGAAGAAAGAGGAAAAAAGATAAAAAAGAAAAAGATGAACAGAGAGAGAGAGAGAGTAAGAGAGAGAAAGAGAGAGAGAGAGAAAGAGAGAGAGAGAGAGAGAGAGTGAGAATAGAAAATTAGTTAAAGAGAGAAAGAGGAAGAAGTAAAAAAAAGACTAAAACTAACATTGAATAAAAAAAATTAAAAAAGTGACTAGACAAAAAAGCGTAGATCATAAAAAAATAAATATTGAAAGCCAAAAAAAATATATAAGTAGAAAAATACCTCAAAAAATGATATAGATAATATGAGAAAAAATTTAATAAATTTGAAAATCTATGAAAAGAAAGAAAGTATCAAAAAGAAAGAGAGAGATTGAAAAGAAAGAAAGATACAGAAAAAAAGAGAGATACCGAAAGAAAGGGAGATACCGAAAGAAAGAGATGTGGAGAAGTTCCGAGAGAGAGTCAGGCGACATCTTTAGACGAACAGATGGCAAGAAATATTTATCGATAATAATTTTTGAGGTTCACATTGATTATTCCAGAGAGGCGGCACGTTCTATATATAGAGTTGTTGGGTTTTTTTTAACTTTGCCTGGTTTATACAATTCTGTACCTCTTGGTTTTCTATGTAGATTTTTTGTATGTAATTTGTATGTATGTTTTGTGTACTGGTATGTGTTTGTGAGTTTGATGTTGTTGTGCTTTGTTTTGCACGAGTGTATAATTTTTTTTGTATGTATTTTGTATGTTAGTACGCCCTAGCTTGGAGGAACTGGGTCTCTGGACGCTAAACGAACAAAGGTTGATTGATTTTGTATGTCAGTGCACATTTAGTTTGCATTGTTTACTATCATTACGTTCCATCGTCACTAACGTTGACTTCTTTCAGATCCTTATTCTGAAGGTGTAGTAGGGGCTCGGTGAAATTCTGCTTGACGGTGTCCTCCTTAAGATATTTCATCTCGGCAATCTGCTTGTAAGTCTCGCCTGCCTCAAACAGGGCCTGCCCTGGATGAGTTTTTAAGGGGTATGGATGCTTAGGTGCAGTTTTTTTTTGTGGCGGGTTGTGGATTGGTTGGTTATGTGCTGTTGTTTGTTTGTTGCTAGAGGTTTTAAATATCCAGTATAAACAATTTAAAGCTACAAACAACTGACCAACCACACAATAAATCAATCAACAACAAAAATTAACCGGCCAACCAGCCAAACAACCAACCAATCACACAATAAATCAATCAATTAAAAAGAATAAACCAACCAACCAAGCGACTAACTAACCGAAAAAAGAATCCTCGCCCAGCTCCTTTCCATACTTGACCATGCTCTCCCCGAGTTGGCCTTCCGGTTGGGGGTAGAGCGTGTGATTGGATGTACCACGGAGTTTCGATATCGATTTAACTGCAAGCATGCGAGCTCTCGAAGCTGTGTACGTGTTGTTTGTGTGTGTGTGTGGGTGTGTGTGTGGGTGTGTGTGTTGGTGTGTGTGTGTGGGCGTTATTTATGGATGCCTGATGTATTAATTGTATTGGATTCTACTGTTGTTCCTTCACTCCTACCTAGAACAGCACAACAGAAATGTATGTAGGCGTTTTGTTTACATTTGCACCGACATGATGTATCTCAATCGATCGTCTTCATGTATGTGCGTGTATGTAGGCGTACGTATATGTGTATGTATGTATGTGTGTGTACGTATATGTGTGTGTACGTATATGTGTGTGTATGTATGTATGTATGTGTGTGTATCAGTATGTTTTCACCAACATCATTCTAATCCTCGACATCTTCGCAATTAATGTCATTATTATATCATCATTATCATCATAATCGTAGTCTTCGTCGTCATCACCATCATCCCCATAATCAATATCACCATCATCAACACCATCATCATCGTCATCATCATCAGCGCCACCTGGGTTGGGTTGGAGCATCTCATGTGTCTTTACCATCAAGTCATCAACCAGACGAACCATGGCGTCCGTTCTCTATTAAAAAATTTATCATCGCTATTATTATTATTAGAAATTATTCCCTCGTTAACTAATAATAAAATAATAACATTAAATATAATTATCATTACTGTCGTTACTACTGTATTTTTCTGTTAACACAATGGATTTCATTAACTCTTACTGAAAATACTGCTCACACGGGGGCACAGGATTTTTCGGTCCCCTCCTCGAGGGGGGCACAGAATCCCCCGGCTCCCTCCCTTAGATCCGCCACCCCCCGTGAATTATAGTACAGTGATACTCCCTATTAATGACTTTGAAAATGTCATAAAAAATCAAGTCTTCTTAAATGAGGAGAAAGCATATTTACAATCAAATTAAAAAAAGGTACACAAGATGTATACATTATTTTCTTTTAGTAAATGTACACTGGATTGTATTATATTAATACAATATATAATTTGGAAAAACCATGTTGTGTTGTTAAGCTCAAAGATTTAATTAATTTATTTTGGGAAGAAATGAAGTAAGTGGCGGTGGTTGAACAACTGCTGACTTCATTTTGAGATGTTCTGTCAATCAGTTTTACAATTTTAGATCAATCAATCAGTCATTCATTCAGTATTTCGTTCAATCATTTCAATCAATCAGTTAATCACCGAGATTGAGCTATTGAAAATATGATTTTTTTTTCTATGTAGACATATAGACAAATAGGCTAACAGACAGACGTCTGTTAGCCTATTTGTCTGTAGTAGTAGTAGTGGTAGTAATAGTAGTAGAAGTAGTAGTCGTAGTAGTAATAATAATAATACCAATAATTTTACTAAGTCCATTAAAAAACACGAAATTCCCAAAAGACCGCGTAATAAAAAATATTTTTTTCTAAAAAAAAAAAATTTATCTTTCTAGAATTCCCTTAAACCAAAAAATAATTTTAATTTATTGTCGTTGTATTTTTATTTATTGAACGGCTCGATATTCTTGTCCTTAAGTGACTCATTCATGTGTGTCTTAAATACCTTCAAGTTTGCATGCATGCGTTAATGTGTATGCGTGCGTGTATTTGTGTGTCTAAGTGTGTGTGTGCGTGTGTGTGTGTGATGTGTGTGTATGCATTAATGTGTATGCGTGCATGTGTGTCTCAGTGTGTGTGTGTGTGTGTGGTGTGTGTGTGTGTGGTGTGTATGTGTGTTTGGGTATGTGTATGAGGTCGTTTCGTTTCGTTACGTTAGGTGTGTGTGTCTGCTTTCCCCTTCTGGCATATGAACGACATCCTTTCTTCTTCTACAGCAGACATATTCACGTTTCTGTATACAATGATGGTAAATATTCTGCAAGTTCAATTTGTTGCAGTACTTGAAAGGGGAGGATACGGATAGTAGGAATTAGGAATGGTGTTTATTGGTACTTAGATCTTAGTTGTACTCTGTACAAGCCAGTAAAGCATTTTTACCAGTTGTGTTATTTGCCAATTAAAATTATAATGACAAAAAAATTAGGAAGTTATTTTAAATGTTGAAAAATATAACATTGTTTAAACTTTATTTTAGTATATTGATAATAATTTTACTACTGCCAAAACAATGCTAAGTACTGCAATACTAAAACTTTTAAATAATACTGGCAATCCTTTTTCGACAGAACGCAAGCAATAAATCCCATGAATGAATTATGTCGATGAAACGTTCTATAAATAGAAACCAGAGCTAAAAATAGATTGAGTATTTGTATTAACAATACTAGCCTAAAATAGCTATAAGAAAAATAATTAATCTGTGGATTTTACTTTAGTATTAGGCGTAAAAGTAGCAGCAGCAGTATTAGTAGTAGAAGTAGTAGCGGTAGTTGTAGTAGTGGTGGTAGTAGTAGTAGTAGTAGCAGTAATAGCAGCAGTAGCAGTAGTAGTAGTAGTAATAGTAGTAGTAAAAGGAGTAGAAGTAGTAGCAGTAGTAAACTAAGAAATTGTTAAAAGCCTTCTAACTTAATGTTCGCCTCTTAAAGACGAAGCTAATGACAGTCACCACACATTCTCCCACGTCAAATTGTCTTGTTTGTTTTTTATTTTTTGTTGGTTTTGTATTATTGTGAGGTATTTTGTATTTTTTGTGTATGTTTGGATTTGTTTGTATATGTTTGTGTTGGTATTTCTGATATTTCTAGGCATTTCTGATATTTCTGGTATTTCTAGGTATATTTTGTCAGTCTGTATTTTTGCACTCTTCTAGAAATGCCTTAGATTTTCTGTTAGGTAAATACAATACCACTACCAATGAGAAGAAAAAGAAGAAGAAAATAAAATAATAACAACAATAATAATGTGTAGAAGTTTTTATGTGCTTAAGTTTAGATACTAGAGGGCTTAGATACACTATTGCAAGTACAAGAGGATTTTTTTTCAAAAAGAAAAAAATAGTTTTTATTTAACTTTTTTTTTTAATTTTTCACGTAAACAACGTAAAATAGCAAACGCAATTATAGTAGTAGTAGTAACAGTTGTCTGGTAGTAGTAATAGTAGTAGCAGTAATAGTAGTAGATGTAGTATTAGTGGCAGTAGTAGTAGCAGCAGTATTAGAGTAATAAAAGTAGTAGTAGTGGTAGTAGTAGTAGTAGTAGTAGTAGTGGTGGTGGTGGTAGTAGTAGTAGTAGTAGTAGTAGTAGTAGTAGTAGTAGTGGTAGTATTAGTAGTAGTAGTGGTAGTAGTAGTAGTAGTAGTAGCAGTAATTTATGATGATAATAAAATTAACGAAATTAATCTAATTGTCGTGCCTCCTTATTGTCGTATCACAGCCACATTATAATGGTCGAGTTAAATTCATCAAAGATAATGAAAAAAATATAAATGAAAATAAAGAAAAATGGAAACTTGAACCTCGAAAAAAATGAAAAAAAAAACTTCAAATGTACCTTCTCCATTTCCATGAACTCTTCATCCAGTTCGGTGCCTTTGGCGCCTCCAATCTTCTCGCTTACGTACTGTTTGTTCGATTTATGTTTTGTATTGTTGGTATTTGTATTTTTTGTATTAGCATAATTGCCTATACATATTTTCTTTTTATTTATGTATTATTAAAATTGTTTTTTTTCGTATTTTTATATTTGCGCGATTGCGTATTTTTTTATTAGTGTATTTTCCATAAAAATTGAATTCAACCTTTGTATACTTTTGTTTTGTTTTTGTTTTTTGTTTTTTTTATTGTGTAAGCGCATCGTTTTGTCTACGTAGTACAGAATGATCTTATCTTGCTGTTTACCAGCTTAATTAGATTTTTGGCAGCAATAAGTTGTGATCTATTTTGCCAACTGCACCTCAAAACAATTCAAACAAACACAAAAACTCACATAAAAAGCTCTATTAAAAAAAGTAGACAAACATACAGACAGAAATAAACGTTAAATCAGACAGACAGACCAACAGACAGATATACGCAGATAGACAAAATCATGCATACATTCACGCAAACTGTCTAACACACACTCACACACAGATATAAAATACATACACACGCGTGTATTGATATAAAATTGCGTGTACAAAATCTTGCACGTGCGATCGATGCGTGAATTCGTGCATGTTGTACACTTGCATGCGTGTGTGCACTACACATACACGCATATACAATTGCGTATAGCCTGCCTACGTACATACAATTTGCATCACACACGCATACACACACATACATACGTACATACACGCAGGCATACATGAGTTGCATATTGATCCAATGTAATATTTTTGATTGCTGCTGTTGTTGTTTTTGTTTGTCGTTATATCAAATTTATTATTGTTCCTCAGTTCTGCTTTAATGCACGCATTTGACAATTTTTTCTGAACGTTTCTTCTAATAATGCACACATTTTTGTGATTTGATGTAATTTTTATTTGATTATTTTTAACTGTTTCTTCAAAATAGATCTGTTTTTGATAGTGTGAAGTATGGTTCGTGGCTGTGAATATTTTAATATATTCTATTTTTTTTATTAGCCGTGACGCTACTTGCAGCCCTAGCTACTGTCATGATTGCATTATTATTATGTTGCGTGTTTTGAATGAGGAAGAAAGAGGGTTCATATGATCAATTTCTGCCTTGATTGACAATATATCCATTCCGGCCGTGAAACTTGGTTCTGGATTCAAATACTAAAGTAAAATATACGATTCGAAATTGAAAGAAACAAAAGCCCAAGAAAGAATGGTTGCCAAATCGTCACGACTGCTGAAGATCACGACTGATCTTGATGTTCCAGCACAAATGAAGTTACAAATTTTAGGAAGATTCATCCCTTCACAATTAAAATTTGAGCTACAAAGATACAACTTTTCCCTGGCATGGATGGCTAATGCTTTGGACAGCCTAGTGGTAGGATCAGTCAAAAATTGGCTAACAATGCCAGTCAGCGGTTGTGTGTTAGAGATGTTGGTCTGCCGTTGAAGATTGGAGGCCAAAAGGTTGTTTCCCTCAAGGACTCTGCGTTAAAAATGAGAATCAAACTCTGCAACTATTTTAAAACAAGTTCAAATACAAAAATTCGATCTTTTTGATTAGAAACGGCAACAGACAGACAATAGACAGCAATAGACAATAGCAATAGACAGCAAAATGTGCGACACCTTGCTTTCGAAATCGGACTCAACATCTCAGTCGCTAAAATCAAAAAAAACCGGATTGATGCTTGTTGGAATGACATTGTTCCTTTGCGAAGTCAAGGTACCCTTATCAAATCTGTGACAGCGACAATATCCTCATCTCAAATAACTCATAGAACACTATCCGACCAGACGTTGCCATTCTGCTCGGTCGAAAGATGGAGGTCATAGAATTGACTGTAGGCCACGAGATGAATCTGACCCAGTCTAAAATCTACAAACAATCAAAATACTGCAACAGCTTGAAATCATGCTTGAACACCTCCTATAAAAACTGTTCTATTACGTTAAAAACATTTGAAGTTACTCCGATTTGATTTATTAATCCCGTTAATTTGTTATCTATTATTTAAAACTGATTAGCCTATTTCATTAACAAACTAACTAATTAACTCGATTATTAAATCTGATAAAATAAAATTACAATTAAATATTTTTAAATGAATTAAATCAACATGAACCTGGTTGGCTTTGTTGATCTGCTTTTTAAATCCGGCCAACGACATTCTGTCTGCTGTGAATTCGTGAAATTGTGAAAATAAAATTAATTATAATAATAATTATTATTATTGTTGTATAATAATTAATCTGTACAGTTATAGTTAAGTTAATAAAAAAATATATTTATTTTTCCTTAAATCAAAATTTAAATAATATATATTCGATATAATTTCCAATCAAATGTGTCAACGAGCAACGCCTCTCAGCTTCTCTCTCTTTCTCACTTTTCTTTCTCCCTCGCTCTCTTTCTTTCTCTCTATCTCTCTTTTTATTTTTTATTTTTCTCATTCACTCACTCTTTTTCTGTTGAATTCCAAAGTTTAAAGGCGACAGACCATCGGAAACCTTTTCCTCCTCGAATTAAATGAAGCGACCGTCAGATAGAGATAGCGATTGGGTGAGCGAACGAACGAACGAGTAAGATGATGAGTAGAATAAAGTAAGAGAGAAAGAAAAAGAGAGAAAGAGAGGGAGAGAGAGAGAGAGTGAGTGAGAAAAAGCGAGAAGGGAGAAAAGACGGAGAGATAAGGAAGAAAATGGGAGGACAAGCTGCAACAAACACACATCTGCATGCATTCCTCCGCCACGTAAATTTAAGAATTGTTACATGCAATTCTACAGTCAGCCTTGTCACATATTCTTAAGTTTATATATATAAATATATATATATATATATATATATAGAGGGAGAGAGAGAGAGAGAGATAGAGAGAGAAAGAGAGAATGAGAGAGATATATATAGAAGAGATAATTATATATTTACATCTTTGTTTGGATGTATAAAAGTTATTCCTGTCTGTCTCACGTATGATTGTTTGCGTCTGTTTGTTTGTCGGTCTGGTCAAAAATATTTTTTTTAAATCCTACATTTATGGAAAACTTTTCAATATCTGACCCATTAAGAGACCGTTATTAGGTTATTTTCGAAGAACTGATGCTCCACAACTTATAAAACGCATCTCGTTATGAACATTTGCGAGTTTTGTTGTCTCTAATTAGTGCAGACAACTTTTGTTTCCAATTAACACCTTTCTATATTGCAGTGGATAATTTCAAATATGGCTAAAATTTATTTTATCTATAACTGTTTAGTCAGAAAAATCTATGCCATTAATAAATAATTAAAATATCATATGGAAAAAATTTTTCTCTTTCAAAAGAATGTTGCCATTGAAGTGACACAAATTTTGTGAGCAATAAGTGACAGTATCTTACGACTACTCAAAATGATTCTTTCGGACAAACATTTTTTATTCACACGTGAACCACACACCCACGCACATGCACACACATACACACACATACACACACGCACATACACACACACATACACACACATACATAAGTCAGAACATATATGGCAGATTTATTCATAAAGTTGGTCATTTCGCTGTATGGTCACCATCAAACTTGCCCTTCATTGTCTGTTTGTCATCCTCGCCTTGGTAATAAAGTTTTTAAGTTTCTTAACAAGAGCAATAAGCAGTGATGATGGTTTTATTCTTGCTGGGTAAACATTTTTAAAGCAACTTAAATAATTAAAAAAAAAAAAAAAAAAACATTACATCACGACCGCATTGATGAGACACAGCAAGCAGCACAGAGGAAGTAGGAACGAAATTTTCTTCGAAGATTTGCAGAAATAATTTATATTTCAATTTTAGTTCGAACTCTTCTTTCATCATTTCATTCATTCCAATTCTCAGAATTAAACAAAAAGAGTTTTTTTAACGTGAATGTATACATGATTTTGTCTATCTGTGTCTGTCTTTTCCAAAATACCATTTCACTTCCCAGTAAGAACGATCAACAAGCGATTGTTTGGTACCCCATTCAGACATTGTTTAAAGTTTTTTGTTAAAAACTACAAAGTTAAGTTTCTTTGTTCACTTGCCGATGGTGTCATTTTTAAAAATGAACTTTGAATACTCCATTATCGCTAACCTGCTTACGGCACAATTTTGTCATCATCGTCAAACCACAAATATCATTTATGTAGTTTTTGGTGATGAAGTTTTTGTAACCGAGCAAAATAATTTTCAAAGTGATGATCTGGCTCATAAAATTTAAATGTCAACTCCGAAAACAATCATCATCCTGAGTGGAAAACGTAAATCAGGCAAGGATTTTGTTGCAAGTTTACTGCAAGAAAAGTGGGTCTAACCGTCTAATTATTTATCAATTATGTTAAATTTCTGTTTTAATTATGAATTATGATTATATGAATTTATTATACAATAAAAATAAATATATTAAAAATTAAATATAAAATAAATAAAACCTCATTTTATTATATATTTTTGTTTTTTAGACTGGATCCAAATAGATGTGCCATACTCAGATTATCATATCCTCTGAAAAGTCAATATTCCAAGGTACTTACAGTCCAAACTAATAAATTAATTTTTTTAAATTCGGAATATCATCTCAACTGAATGAAATGATCTTCATCTATCTTCTATGTCATCCTTATCAATTAATCAATCAGATTATATTTTTTGGTAACTTATATTTTATGGTTTTTGAATGTTTGTGTATTGTAGATATATAAGGTTAATTTGAACATTTATGTAAAAAATATGCTGAGTAAAAACTATGCATATTTAATATTATAGAGAGAGATTTGTTTTTCATAATGTAAATAAACTTTTAACAAACTTTTTTAAACAAAATAAAAATTTTGAAGCTAAAATCATCATTTTCTTCCTAAATTTAAAAATTAAATGTTTCAGGATCACGGATTGGATCTGGAAAAATTATTAGATGCCAGTGATTTTAAGGAGCTGTACAGGGCTGACATGATACGTTGGGGAGAGGAAAAGAGAAACCAAGACCCCATGTATTTCATTAGGTTTGGTGACATTTGTCGTTGGTTTTTTGTAATTTAGAATTTTTTTTTGTTTATTATTGTCGGGACACCAATTTTTCTAGCAATACAATGCATATGTCAATTGTGTAATGTGTTTATTAGTTGTCAAATGAAATTACTTAATCTGCTTCTAAAATTATTTTAAAGAGTATTCTATCTACAAAAACTTAACAAATTATGGAATTCAATTACTATTATTCATAATTGTATTATGTTCATAATATTTGTTATTACGCTGATGATAGATATCATAGCCATCATTATTTTTGATTATGAACATTCACCACCTGACAACAGAGCAATTTCATCAGAACCAGGAGCGGAAAAACCCATCTGGGTGGTCAGTGATGCCAGGAGGAGGTCCGACATGGACTGCCTCCATCAACTTTTCCCAAATATTATCCTATCTCTCCGAATTCATGCTGAAGAGATTGTGAGGAGAGAGAGAGGATGGCAGTTTGTTCATGGTGAGATTTTAAGTAGTGATGGTGGTGATGTGAAGTTGTGTTCCATACATTGCAGGATAGATAGCATTTTATGAGAATTTTTGTTTAATTGAGATGGTTCAATATTCTTCAAATTTAACTGGCTTAATCACATTGTTTCAAACGATCTCTACATTTTTACAATAAAAATACTAGTATTTTTGTTATAAAATTATAGGTGTAAGTTAATTAATTAGTTAATTTTTCTCGAAACCAGCACTTCTTTCTTCTTACTTGTAAAAAAAATCAAGAAGAAGATGAACACAATTTTTTTTTCCATTCAAAACAGGAGTAGATGACGCAGAATCCGAATGTGGATTGGACGGTTACAACTCATTCGACCACCATCTTGAAAACGACGGTGACGTCAACAAGTTGAATGACGTCATAGATAACATTTTAAGAAGTCATCATTTGCTGAGTTGATGACGAAGTTTATACTCAATTTAATCGGAAAATTTTTGAGATAATTCTCGTTGACATGTTAATTCAAATTAATTAATTAATTAGTTAATTAATTGGTTTTCCGACTGATATTTTAGAAGAATAATCCTCACTGAATACATACTACTACTACTATTACATTGATATTGTTAATAAAAAGTTAATTTCATACAAGATTTAACGTTGATTTGAGCAGATTTTATAAAACCCTTTAATAATAATTAATCGTAATCAAACAATGATTTTAAAATTATTCCAAATTACAAATTAGCATTCATAAATATGAATAATTATTTGTAATTTATTATAGTTACAAAGTTAAAATGGGCAGCAACAAAGAGGAAGAGAAAATCGATTGACTTAAAACTCACCTGGACTCCTAACGGTAGAAAAAAATTTTTTACATAGCTTAATATGGCTAACCAAAAACATTGTGATCTAAAATCGTAATAAATTCTTTTCGATCAATCAATCAATAAATAAATAAAACAAGTATTCTATAAACGAGTTGGTGAATAATCTTAACTAAACACTCAAAAAAATTAAATCAAGCAATCAATTTTTTTTCATAGAATGGAAATTTAATTTACATTTTATTATACGTAGTTAGAAGAAGGACGATTACTTAACATTGATAATTGATAAAATCCTAGGTGCAATAACCTATCACATCATCATTAATTAATCATTATCGTTATGTACTCACTTATCATCATCCTATCCGCTATCTATCATCATCTTTACGAGAAACAATGCCAAGAACATGGATGTAGATAGATTAAACTCACAAAAGACTTAAAATACCTATTAGTAAATAGGTTTTAAAAGTGACTTAAATTACCTAGTAGTAAATAGGTTTTTAAAGATTAAATTTAGACGCAAATCACGTGCGAGTTTTGTGAAATTGAAAAACTAGATACAAAATGTTGAAGAACATTTACAAATCACAAACACACATATTATACAAACTCATTTACCTCTGCGTTAAATCTCTGAAGAGATTTTACGTTACATGGCATAAGCATCGTTCGTTATGTATTTAAAGTTAGCAGTGAATGATACTAATAGAAGAAATCTGATTGTAAGACATGGAAACCTACTCTTATTAGTGCTAATTGTTAAATTAATATGAAAAATATAAATAGTAAAAACGCCTGTCTACGTGTATTATATGTATATACGTTTATATTTAAATACATAAAAATAAATAAATATCTATAGACAATGTAAACAGACAACAGAGCTAAGCTATATGTTGGAGTTGAGTAGTTGATTTGAAATCTTACAAATTTCAAATAACAAAATATTCAATTATTTATTTATGAAGTAATAGATTTGATGATATAATTAGATTGTGATATAATTTAACAGTGAATTCACGTCGAATTAATCATTAATTAATTGATTGATATAATCACTACTGAAGTTTCTTGTTGGTAGGGCTTGACCTTCCGACACTGACCTTTCCTACGAAACTCTCCAATACATTCAACTTCTGCCGAAGGTCATTAAATTAAAATATTTGATAAAAATTTTCATAAAAGAAAAAATCATTGATACAAGAAAAAATAAACCTTAAAAATTATTTGATTTCACTCAAATTTAAATAAAACTCACTCCTCTAAAAAAAAGTAAAAAAATATAAAAAAAATAAATTTCTGCAAAATACAAAGAAGCAAAGGAACTAAACAATTATATCAAACCTGAGATATCAAATATAGCAGACCGAGATACAAAGCAATGCCAACAGCCAGTATCAAGTCGAACACAGCTGGCTTGACGCTTCAAAATTTGAAAGAAAAAAAAAGAATTCTTTCAATCACAATTATTAATAAATCCAATAAAATTATCTGGTTAGTGTTTTTTTTCCTGAAATTACATTTAAGTAAATAAAATAAAAAAAGATTTAAAAAAAAATCCATTTATGTAAAAATTGTATTTATTGGTTTTATGTTATGTCGTACCAATGGTAAATTAACAATTTCAACATTTAACAAATTAAAACTTTATAAAAACAAAGATATATTTGTCAAAAGAACTAAATAAATTTCCTAAATGTTACAAATAAATTTAAAGTAAGTAAAATAAATTGTTTGATAATTGATTAATATTTAAGATAACTTTCTATAAATAATAATAACTGACTGACCTATAGACACCCAGCGAATATTCTGCCCCGGTGTAGAAAACAAATTCTGGTTCCCTGTTGTATGTATTGTTGGATGTGTTGTTGTTTGTGTTGTAGTTTTAATTGTTTGTGTAGTTGTTGGTGTGATTGTTGATTGTATCAATGTTAGAAGAAAAATACCATCACTTCATAAAATTCATCCAGACAAACAACACCACTAGACACATACATACATGACAAACATAGCCAGCCAAGCTAGAGTAATCGTCACACATTCAGGCAATCAAATCATGGCCAGACAGACAGAAGACAGACAAACAGACAGACAGACAAACGCACAATATGACGCGAACCTCTTATCAGCTTTGAATGTATGCCTCTTAACACTTCTAAGATGTTTACTGAACCACCCTTCAAATGTACTAATCAGAGGAGAATCCTTCTTCAAAAGTTGGGCAGACCTTGGGACACTGGAGATGTGCTCCAGCCATGAAGAAACCAGTTCCTTGTTGACACTCTGTCGATATTTTTTGGAATTATGATTATTTAACAGGCTTTGTCAATATATTTTTACAGTTATGAATCTTTAGTGGTCTCATAGTGAATGAAGATTGTAAAATTTTGATTCAATAAATTCTTAATTTAAAATGAAATATGCATAAATTAATGTATATCTAATCCAACAAACCCCAAAGATATCTAACCAAACAAACCACAAAAATATCTAAACAAACTCCAAAAGATATCTGAGAAATAAACCAAAGATATCTAACCAAATGATCAACAAAGATATCAGATCCAGGGTTTGACAGGTTGAATATCTGCCCGGCTAGTCCATCAGCAATTATTCTTATGTTCCTTGAGAGACCTTCTACGTCCAACTTGTCCCTTTAATACAAATTTAATCACAATAATTACATCATCAATTTTAAATTTATCACCGGCTAGGACAAAAAAGTTAATTTAAATCATTAAAAATCCTGAGTTACTACGTCAAAACCGTCTAACAATGAAACTAACATTCTTAATAATAATCACTCAATACCCTTTAAAGTATAAAGCAAATTTACGTCAAGCAAAATGGTTCGTTGTAAGAGCCAAACCAAAATTCAAAATTTTAGAATCAGTACAATTAAAAGAAACTCTCAAACCATAATGCCCACCCTCATTTTTAACTAACATGGTATCTGTGATAGACCTCAACCTCATATCTCTAGGACTCTTAAAGGAGGAAACTGTGAATGCGTAGAGCTTGTTGATGCTGAATCTTTCATGCTCCCACGATAGATGCCGCTCTGCTAGGTTAATCTTTTTATGAATCATCTCAAATAATCTTGCTGACGTCATTGTTGATGTAATGTTGTTGTTAGCGTCATTTGCGTTGGCATTATCATTGTCGTCACTGTTATTGCCATCATCAGAGTTGGTACTATCTTCGTTGCTATTTCCATTGAACGTTTTTGAATGTGACGACGACGACGATGATGAAATGGGTGATTTTATTCTTTCTGATATGGCATGGAAATCCTGTTAATCATTTCAACCATTTTTTAATATTACCAAATAACCACAAAATCATTAGTGAATTATTTAAATTTTCAACCATATAAAATAAAACACAATCAAACAACCTTGGCAAGATGAGAGTCTAAAAAAACACATAAAAAACTTAAATAAGTAATTAAGATGAAGACGTCAAAAAAGTTGAAAAACGCTAATAATAAATAACGAAAAAAAACAAAGTTAAAAACCATCAACCAGCAAAACAAACCTTGATGATCAGATCAGCGAAACTGCCTTCCTTGGGTGGTTTTGACACGTGGGCAAAAAGTCCAGGACCAGATCCAATGGAATCTATGCAAATCACTGCTTTGAACTGGCTAAGCTCTGAAAAATAGTGATTAGGGAATTAGTGAACAATGGATTAGTTAGTGGCTGACAAAGGAGTGAATGATTAGTGAATGCTAGAACCTAAAATAAATAAATATACAAAGTAACAAACAAACAAACTGATACCTACTAAGCAAACAAATAAAAACATACACTCACACATACACACAAACATACAAACAAACAAACCTTCAGAATGATCTTCCAGCCATCTTTTGGTGCCTTGGTAGTTAAGTTTTCCTGCTCCAGTCAGAAGAAATTGCAAATTCATCCTAGATATTTCAGAAAATATAATTAGTAAAATGTAAATAATAAAATAATGACAAAATAATAACAAAACATCTAACTTGGGATGGCTTTTTGAGTGGCTATAAAGTTTCGAGAAAAGTCGAATGAGTTCGAGGATGGCCACTACACCACTACCATTCGAATTGCTGCCTCTTGCTAGGGACTTTGGAAGATATGTACATGTGTGTGCGCGCGCGTGTGCGTGTTTATTTGAAATATGACAAGATGATGATGATCACATCGTACCATCATCCCCCACATCATCACCATCATCGTCGTCATCATCACCCACATCATCATAACGATCATTATTATAACTCACGGGGGCTACACCAATAGCATCGTAGTAGGCAACCACTAGAACAGTGGGTAATTGCTCCTCCAATCCGTGCCCTATTAACTTGCCCTGGGGTCACATTTTGATCAATACGGCCAGCATTACATTTAACTAACATTTTAATAATAACATCGAATTTACAAATACTTATTATTTTTCTAAAAAAATTAAATAAAAATTAAAACAAATTTTTACTCTTTATTTAGGAATTTATATCTAGAACAATAGCAAAGAGAATCTAACTTAACACACACTCACTCACCTGCAGGTTGACAATCTCGAAGTCATTCAAAGCTTTCGACTGAGGCCCGTTAATAATGAATTGAAATCCATACAAGTTTGAAGACCTTACTATAGCTATCATTGGTGAAATTATTAAGATGTCAATATTGATATCTTACATGTGAAGAGTGATATCTTAAATGTCAAGAATGGTATTAAAAATGTTAAAAATGATGTTTAAATGTTGAGAATGGTGTCTTAAATGTTGAGAATGAGGTCTTAAATGTTGAGAATGAGGTCTTAAATGTTGAGAATGATGTTCTAAATGTTGAGATAAATGTCTTAAATGTTAAGATAAATATAATGAAAGTTAAGTATGAGGATGCTGCTACTAAAATATTAAAAAAATCATGATATCTTAAATGTTGGGAAAGATATAGTAGATGTTGAAAATGATATCTAAGGTGTTGAGAATGATATAATAGATGTTGAAAATGATAACTCAAATGTTGAAAATTATATCCTAGATGCACCTTCCAGGGCTGATTCAGCAGAGTCAGCATTTCCAAAGGATTTCAAATCCTCGTAAATGTTCAACAACTTGTCGTCCTCATATGCAAAGTAGACAGGCAGTTGGGTCTCATCTGATAACAACTGATGCTCCAGTTCAATCAGATGCTACAAATGTTGTTAGGCAGAAATTGGGAAATGTGAAACTAAATTAAAAATCATGACTGAAACAAAAAAAAATTTTTTGATGGGATTGAAATATGAACTTGAACTATTTTATAAAAACTATAGAAATAAAATATGTTCTGAGTCACAATTCAAAGAAAAGTTAAAAATTCAATTCACCTCTTCATCCTCTCGACTGATCTGATCAAAGGTCCTGGGGAGAAGTACCAATAATCCATTAGCATTCTGCTGAAGGATTTCTTTGTACTTTGAGAATGCCAGTTCTTTCAACTTGCTGACCACACATTTTCGAGTGTAGACAGATGCAGTGATCGGACGTGCCTCAACGTTTATTATTGCATTCCTACATCCTAGGAATTTCATTTTTAATAAATTTATTTTATATTAATAATAAATTCGTAAAGTAAGTCCATTAAATAGCTAATAATAATATAATATACATTGCCAATTTTAATTTTAAATATAAATTGTTTTAAATTAAAAAAAATCTATTTTTGGATTCATCAGCTTGCAACAAAAAAAATCTCTCACCATGTGAGACTCCTTGTAGGTCAAACTGCTGCATGCGGTAGACTGCAAAATCACTGGCCGGACAAACCGGCGAAATCAGAAACAAAATTGGGACAAAAAACAGAAAAGAGAACGGAAAACTGTTGCGAAACATCTCCAGAATTTCGTCTGTACTATCGAAAACCATTTTGGTTAAGGATCGAATTCGAGTCCTAAATTTATAAAACTAAAAGTGAATTTTTGTCATATGAATGGTTCTACTAAAAGTATCAATAACTCATGCCTAAACTGTCTACATAAATCAGTAACATCTCTTATTTCACTAAGTTCCACTTTTACACTACTTTCACTTTCACGTTGTCGTGTTTTTAATGGCAATGCGCTTCTGAAGCTTTCAGACCAAGTTACATTATAACTCTGAATTTTAAAAGAAAATGGACAAAATTATTATTACTGATAAAGTTGTAGACTTGAATGACGCGAACGATTTTGTTAAATGTTCGTCTGCGGGTGCCGTAACGATATTTCAAGGTGACGTGCTGAGTGTGACATGACGTGATGGATGCCCGCCATGGATGGTGATCCTGTTGCTTTGTTTCCACTCTCTCTCTCTCTCTCTCTCTCTCTCGTTTTTCATTGCTCGCTTCTGTGAATTTACTAAATTCTCGTTAATTGATATACCTTTTATTAATTGTATTAATTGAACCCATAGGTACCACAAGAGATGTCTTTGAGGGTAAAATTGTGAAGAAACTGTCCTATGAAGCGTACGCCGGTATGGCAGAAAAAGAATTGAAAAAAATTTGTGAGCATATGCGAGAAAAATGGAACATACTTAAAATTTACGTAGAACACAGATTAGGGTAAGGATAAAACATCACATTGGTGCTTTTCAAATTAGTTTTTTTTATTTATTGACAAGTTACTCTGATTAGGCATTTTTAGGGAGGTACCAGTTGGTGAAGTTAGTGTCATAATAGCAGTGTCGGCTATCCACAGGGCAGACTCGATTCAGGCCGTCGAATATTGTATCAACAATCTCAAATTGACTGTACCAATTTGGAAAAAAGTAATTAAAAATGAGTATTTTTTAAATTTATTTGATTTAATTTTTGAAATATTGATTTGAAAAAATGCTAAAAAACAAAGAACAATGTTTAAAAAAACTGACATCTTAATTTTGAATTCAAGCTGGGAATACTTAAAAGTGATTTTGTAATGTTGTTGAACAATCTATGAAATCGTTTATCGTTTTCTACATATATATATATATATATATATTCATATATATATATATATATATATATATATATATATATATATATACATTCAGATGTATATGTGTTTAAAATCTATATCATTATTTAAACATATATATACATATATATATATATATCATAAAATATATCAATCAAACTTTGATATTTCAAAGGAGATATATAATGATGATACTGGGTTGTGGAAAGAAAACAAAGAAAGTTGTCAAACAGTCCAACATCTTAACACTAATCACTAACTTATATATATGTATATATATATATATATGTATGTATATATATTTATGTGTGAATTGATGAAAACACTTTTATAGCAGATTTATTTATTGTGTACTGATTTAGAAGATATTATCGTTAATTATGCAGAAGAATGAAAGGAGAAGAAAAAAATACAATGAAACCAACGTCGTCGCTTTTATAATGTGATAGTTCTAATAAATGTTCTAATTTGAAAGAATTTTTAATTTCAATTGCCAAAAACATTAAATGGTAAAACTCAACAAATGATATAAATATATAGGCAAACGGGGCAGGATATCATTAATTAATTAATTAATTGATTGATTAATTAATACAGATAGGAAAAAAGGGTCGAAACTGTGTCAAAATTAAAAACAGTGGTGTGAAATATGTTAACGAAAACGTGAAGAGATCGACAAATCTGTGTATATTAAATGTGGATGTGTGTGTATCATTGTGTGTGTGTGTATATATCGTTGTGTATGTATGTGTTTGTGTGTGTGTGCAAGATGTGAACGAGTTGATTACGAAATGAACATATACGTCTTAGTTACTAACATTAACCAATCGTCTTGACATCTTAATTAGAAAAATATATTTAAGTTAGTTAACGAAAAAAATACACACCAGTTTAGCAAATAACACTCCCGCCGCGCTGTGATACGTACTGCGTAGTAGCTCTGTTTAAAAAATGTGTCTTGATTTGTATGAATGAATGAATGTCTGTGTGCGCGCGCGCGTATGTGTGTACATGTGTATTGCCTACAAATGCGTGTGTCCGTATGCAAACATGAGAAGATTAAATCAACAGACGTACACACTTGATGAAAAACGGGAAAAAAATATTGCGCAGATAAGTGAGAACCTCGTCAGGCACACAGAACAATCAAAAACTGGCATCAGATAATTCCACCAACCGGCATCAGATAATTCCACCGACTTTATAGTCGATGGTCAGTCGTCTGTCTAACCTAACCAGCTCTCCTATTAGAATTATTAATGTCAAATTAATGAGAACCATGCTTAGTTCAATTAAATACGAACATTTACCGACGCTGTCGTCGTCAAATACTCAATCACCTTCACCATCTGTGTGGTCATTAACGCAAAATATCATAGCAACTATTCACCATCAGATGTATCTAACTAGACGAGTATGTTAAGTCAAAATGTCAAGTATAAAAAAAAACCTTAAATACATGTAAATAATCATATTGGAAAGCAGGTGCATGTGTGTGGCTATGTGAGATTGTGTGCTTCCACAAAAATGTATGCCGTATGTATTTATTTATGTATGTGTGTGTATTCGCGTGTAGACGTGCGTGAGCATACACGCACGTATCAGCGTAGACAATATTTACCAGAAGATGTACTGTGACTGTTATGTTATATACAATTAACTAGGAATATGCATTGGAAGTGCATAACTTTTTGCGCGCTAGACACACCAAAACCAAACAAAAAAAGGCACTTCATGTAAATTATATATATATATATATGTGTGTGTGTTTATGTGTGTGTGTGTGTGTGTATGTGTGTGTTGGAAGGAGACCATATTTTATACAGTATTGTATGAATTCTACCGAATTGTTGGCATTAATCAATTTAAAGTTTGTCTTATCAGTTTTCCTTACTAGAATTTTCTGGAAATTGTTCAATTTATTGAAAATAAAATTATTATCCAAGTTCATCACAAGAATTTAATAAAACTGTTGTTGTATAAATATTATAGTATAAATCAACAAAGAATGATAACATCATTACCAACTCGACGCCTTAACAATAACTTACATAACAATGAAGAATAAAGGGGTGACAAAAACAAAGATGAAGAATACGACACCAATTAAGTAACTCACTTTGCTGAAGAAATAACTTTGTTTTGTTTAAAAAAACTGTGAAACCAAACCGGCACTGAAGATGATTTGAGAAAAATCGAAATAAGGCTTATCCGCATGATAAATTTGGATAACAACAGTTTTCTTAAATTCTCATGATAAACTTGGACAATGTTTCTATTTTCAACAAATTGAACACTTTCCAGAAAATTCTAGAAAGGAAAACTGAAAAGACAAACTTTCAACTGATTAATGCCAAAAATTCGGTAGAATTCATACAATACTGTATATATATATATATATATCCATATATATATATATATATATATGCATATATATGCATATATATATGATTAACATAAATGACGTAACAAATGTCAATTAAATAATAAATATATGATAAAAATATTTTATACAGTGCACCACCCAATTTAAAACGCATCTACTTAAAGAAAGTCAAAAAAAGAAGAAATAACATCAAAACAAACAAGCTATTTATCGTGCGCATTCAGTGTGTGTGTGTGTGTGGTGTGTGTGTATTAGTTACAATACAAGATGTGTTTGTATGGGTATTATGTGCGTGTGTGTATAAGTTGTGCTTGTATGTTTGCGTATTATGTACTACGTATTCAATAAAAACCGCAACTGAAACAAGAAAGGGAAAAAACTTAATTGAAAACGAAAGTGATAAAAATAATATTACAAATAGCATATATACATATATATATTACATAAGCACTGGGGAAATTTATGTACAATACGTAAATACCCCTTAACAATATAAAACGATACGTAAAATACAAACGAATTACATTTGTATTCTAGTGAAAAATACCGGATTCGTGAAGTTTTTTTTTGTTCTTTTACATATAAAAATCATTTATCGCCTATCACCTGTTCATCCCTCATTTTATCAATAAAAGGTCAGATTTAGCACTGAAAATACACGAACTAACTAACTCCCTGCTCGCTGTTCTTTACGGTTGGATTGAAAATAATATTAATAATTATTATTATTAATTATTATAATTATAATAATAATAATTATGATATAATAATAATTATTATTATTATTAATATTTCTATCAATGTGATAAACGGGTGTAAAAGAATAAGCAGCCTTTGTAACAAACGCTAAAGGAAAATTTTTTACATGAGAAAACTTTTGTCAAATTCAACGAACGAAAGATGGGAAAAAATAACGAAAAAACAAATAAAATAAAAGCCCTAAAACAAATGAATAGATAAATAGAAGGAAGGAGTAGGGAGAGTTTATGTGTATGTATTTCATAACATTTCTGTTACATTTATGGTTAGAATTTTTAGTTAAGGGTGGCCTATCCACAAGTTTATCTTTTTTGGTCATCCTTCAAAAATAAATAAAAAGAGGAACGAACAAACGAACGAACGGAAAAAAAACAAACAATTAAATAATGGGTGGATAAAGAAATCTGCAATCAATTTGTTAGAACGAAAAAAAGACAAATGATAAGAAATTAAAACATCAACCCCAAAAAAATCTAAATATAATTAAACTTTCATCGTACAGGTATTTGTAAAGCAGGCTATTTCCTGGTTGAATAATCTCTCTCTCTCTCTCTCTCTTTCTCTCCTCCCTTTCTTTCTCTCCCATAAATCAAAATAACAAAACTTTCAAACATTCAATCAGATTATTAAGCAGTTAGCTAATCAATAGCCATAAAAGAGCTTCTAAATTAAAGCGTCGAATATGCATATCTATTCTTCCATTAATTTATTCGTTCGTTTATTCAGTCACTGATCTATTCATCCATCAATCCGTCATTCATACATTCATTCATTCATCATCTAACGCAACCAATACAATAAATCCAGTACATTTCATATTACAAAAATATATAGATGCGAGAAGCTATTTCATCTTCATTGTATTATGCAAAACTTTATAAACATCATTAAACGATAAACCATCCATCCATTCATCAATTCGTTTATTCATTCATTCGTCCATGCATCATTCATTCATTCAATCAATCATTCATCCCATCCGTCAATCTCATACATCCCCGGCTATTTAAACATTAATCAGCTAATAAATTCGTTGCGTCGAAGCTTTACCATTGTTAAATATTAATCTATAAAAAAATTAATCAATCAATCAACCAATTAATCAATCAATCAACCACTCAATCTATCAATCAATCATTAAGTTAACTAAAGCAATTGCAAGTAAAAAATAAAAGCTCAAAATGTTAAACAGACACTCACATGTCGTAAAATTTATAAAGATTTAAACAGACAAAGATTAGAAAACCAATAATCTTAAAACTCCTAAGCTTTATATATCTAGAAATAGTTCAATGACACAATAAAAATGAAAAATATTATACATATTTGTGTGTGTGTGTGTGATAACTCGATAAGAATGAAAGAATAACAATAAGAATTGAACGAACGACAGTAGAGATGATTCGTTAATGAAAAAAATTAGACGAATGAATAAGAGAAAGTTGAATGAACAGCCGAATAAAAAACAAGTATGAACGAATTGATGAATGAACATATGAATGAATGAATGAATAAATAAATAAACAGATGAATGAATGAATGAATAAACAGATGAATGAATGATGAATGAATAAATCAACGAATAACAAGTGAGTAAAAAAAATGCGAAGATATGAATGAATGAATGAATGAATGAAAAACAATTAAAAACAAAACTTTCAAACAAGTTAATAAAATAATTACACATACTGAATAAAAAGACCTTTAACCTATTAATTAGCACTACTAATACTACCACTACATATAGTATAAGATCAATTAAATTAATACTCTCTCTCTTCTCTCTCTTTCTCTCTCTCTAGTTTCTACATATAATTATTTTAATATATATAATTAATTCTTTCAATCATTAATAACAAAGCAGCGATCATATTAGTAGTAAGCACAGGCGCACGGGAAACACATTTAACTAATTAATTAACTGATTAAGAAGCTTCATTTAACTAATTCAACTTAATAAACAAATTAATTAATTAACTGATTAGGCTTCATTTAATTTAAATAACGACAGACGGAAAGGAATATACTACATATATACAGATACAGACTTAATGGCTAGGTTCAGAACAATGCATATATTAACATGAATGAATAGTTACACACACACACAAACA